TTCTTTCTTTTTCTTTCTTTCTTTCTTTCTTTCTTTTTTTTAGGATGGGGGTTTCACCGTGTTGGTCAGGCTGGTCTTTAACTCCCAACCTCAGGTGATCCGCCCGCCTTGGCCTCCAAAGTGCTTGGATTACAGTTGTGAGCCACCACGCCCCGCCTTGGCTTTAGCATTCTTATTGGATGCTGGGGACACTCGATGCAAGCAATGGAGTGAGAATGCAGGGATGGATATAGATGGTTCCTACATGATAACAATCACGTAACTATCATGTTGTGAGCACCAAGTCTGTGCATAGGCTCTGTGCTAAGCGTTTTACATGTGTTATCTCCTTTAATCTTTACAATTATCCTGTGAAATAGTCATTGATGACTCAAAATACATTGGCTGTTTCAATACGTGTCCAGTCAGTCTAGGCTGAAAATATCTAGAATAATGCTACACCATTGGAACTCAACCACTGTTTCTTTGAGTGAATGAAGGTGGTGGGGATAATGAGCTAATCCTGTGTAGGAGTTAGTGAACAGATTTTCTGGCTGCAGCAGAGAGTCTGTAGTGGTCATAATAAGAAATGAGGGTGGCAAGATACCGGAGAGCTAAGAGCAGTCATTGGGGGTGTCTTGGACCTTGAGCGGAGTTGGAAGGGTGAAATGATAAGGAGTCACCATGAATTTCTAAGTGAGAGGAGTATGTTTTGTCCTTATCATGGAAAGGACATTGTCAAGGCATAGCTGGGAGAGGCTGGAGACTGGCCACAGGATCAGTCACTTGGGCATGTCCACCATAAGTGTCTACATATATCACAAGCCCCTACTGACTTCACGGTGGTATCTATTTTTGCCAGAGCTAAAAGCAGAGCTTGGTTGTACAAGCACCCAGAGTTCTCTGTCCTGCTGTCTAAGGAAAGGTGTATAGAGGAAGTAGCTTGACAACAGCCCTGTGCAACTTACAGGGGCAACTCACTGGGCCTCACAGAAGTCTGGGCAGGTAGAATGAGGGCTAAGGAAGGTTCTTTTCTTTTCTTTTATTTTTTGTTTGTTTGTTTGTTTTTGTTTTTAGAGATGGAGTCTTGTTCTGTCACCAGGCTGGAGTGCAGTGGTGAGATCTTGGTTCACTGCAACCTCTGCCTCCCGGGTTCAAGCAATTCTCCTGCCTCAGCCTCCTGAGTATCTGGGACTATAGGTGCCCGCCACCACACCCAGCTAATTTTTGTATTTTTAGTAGAGACGGGGTTCCATCATGTTGGTCAGGATGGCCTTGATCTCTTGACCTCATGATCCACCTGCCTCGGCCTCCCACAGTTCTGGGATTGCAAGTGTGAGCCACCGCGCTCGGCCAGGAAGGTTCTTTATAGAAAGGTTACATTTCCCCACAGCCTGTACCATTCATCTTATGATTGCTCAAGAATGGCAGCTGGGAAGCTGGGCTTGGAAAGCTTTTAAGGATCCGCTTGTTCTTTCAGAGAGGTGGAAAGGGAGCTAATTTTGATGGTTCATTCTTTAAGTATCTGCTAACCACTGTGGGACTGCCCAAAGCATGGTTGGCTCTTTGCCCAGGGAGTAATGAGATAACCTCTACCTGCTGCACTTTACAAGACGGGCAGAGAACCACAGCTGTTGCTTGACCCAGCAGCCTTGCAACTTGAAAATTGTCTGTGACATAGTGGAAGGAGTGTGAAAGCCAGGGTCAGGGTACCTGTGATCAAGTCTTATTAGGTAGTTTACTGCCTGTGCAATCTTGGGCAAGACCTCTGATCTCTCTGACCATCAGTTTTCTCATCTATAACATCTGTCTCATGAAATGTTGTGAGGGCTCTCTAGGATAACACATAGGTGTGTTGTAAACTGTGAAGCATTTTACAAAGACTGCTTTTATGTGCATGCATTGCTAAATTCATTTTACCCGATTTATTTATTTATTTGGAGACAAGGTCTTGCTCTGTTGCCCAGGCTGGAATGCAGCAGTGCATTCATGATTCACTGCATCCTCGACCTCCCAGGTTCAAGCAATCCCCCTACCTCAGCTCCCCAAGTAGCTGGGACTGCAGGCACATGCCACCATGCCTGGCTCATTTTTAGATTTCTAGTAGAGACAGGGTCTTCCTCTGTTGCCTAGGCTGGTCTTGAACTCCTGGGCTCAAGCGGTCTTCCTGCCTCAGCCTCCCACAGTTCTGGGATTACAGGCATGAGCCACGGTGCCTGGCCTCATTTTGCCCTATTTTAAAAGGAGTCAGGAAGTGGTAGAGGAGCTGTTGGAAACTCTGTTGTAGGGATTTTGTTTCCCTCTGCAAGGCTGGGGCAATGGCAACTGTTCTACAAGGACTTTCCTTCCACCAGGCTCGAGAAGCAGAGTTTGAGGCTGAGCAGGAGAGAATCCGGAGGGAGAAAGAGAAGGAGATCGCCCGCCTGAGAGCCATGCAAGAGAAGGTCCAGGATTACCAGGCAGAACAGGTACCTGCTTAGTCTCGACTTCCCCCTACCTCTCCCACTCCCTTGCCTAGCCATCCCTTTGACAGCTGTAGAATGGCCTTGAGGGTGGAGATGTGGAGGAAAGAATGCAAGTTACTAGACTTCCGTAGTCTTAGAAGGAAGAGGTGGGCCTGCCCCCAGGGCTTGTGTCAGCAGGGATTGGGCAGTGCAGTGTGTGCTTAAGGTCCAAGAGAAAGTTTTTCACTGCTCCATAAAGAACTTTCAGCCTCAATCAACCAATGAAATGTCTCACCAGGGGAAAGTGTGGTATCTCCATCATTAGCAGTTTTAAAAATTAGAAGCAATTTCAAGACTGGAGATGTCTGAGGTGCAGGGAAAGAACTGGAATGAGTGGGTTGGAAGGACGAGATGACCCCTCAGGTTATCTTCTAACCCAAAAGTCTGATGACAGGATTCCACTTATCCTTTCCTAGAATAGCTGCCAGAGAAATTCATGGTGCTCTTCAAAGCAGACTGTCAGAGTCTGTAAGTCGGGGTTTTCTTAAAGGCACTTGGTCTGTACCTCCGGCTATTTTGTGCCCTCACTGGTCCCCTGCCAACTTTCCCAGGATGCCTTGCGGGCCAAGCGCAACCAAGAGGTTGCAGACAGAGAGTGGCGCAGGAAGGAAAAGGAAAACGCGCAGAAGAAGATGGAAACAGAGGCCAAGCTGCGGAAAAGTCGGCTCGAACAGGTGGCTTTCAAGGAGCACGCTCTGGCTGTTCAGGTGCAGCGGGACCGGGATGAGTTCGAGAGGATTCTTCGGTAAGAGGGGCCTGGGGATCTTGGATTTCTTTCCTCGTATTGTAGCAGGGATGGTCCATATTGGATAGAGAGAAGCTTTCTGGCATGTTATCAGATGCTTGTCTATCTTGGCTGGGTTGGTGGGATCATTACAACTAGATGGACGATTGAAGCTTTTAAAAATCACTTGGGCCAAGCATTTTGTGATTAGAGAATTGGGAGCTAGCACCTGGAATTGCCTAAGGAATTGGTGATGACTGGGATTATGTACCCTGGAGCAGTAAAAGTATAAATAAAGGTAAAAATCTGTCCCTTCTGCTGCCCTCTGACCCATGGCCCCTTCAAATTAGGGATGAAACTGCAAGAAGAGTGGTTTAGGAAAGACAGAAGAACTCCAGACGCTAAGGATTGTGAGTCATTGGAGCAGGACTTTAACGGAGCTGTTTGCCATCCATTTGACAAATATGCATTAAGCACAGAAAATACAGGGCTCTGTGCTGGATGCCATGGAGGACATTAGAAATTAACAAAACACTGCTCCTGCCCATTCCACAGGAAAGGTATTAGACATTTGTGTTCGGATGGACCACACCTGCATTAATCCATCTTTCTTCCTTGGTATTTTTATTTTTAAAATATTTTAAAAGGTATATTTCCTTTTATTTTTCTTTTCCCTTTTGGCTCAATGCTAATTTCAACACATAAGTGGAAGCTAAGTGTTCACCTCTCTCAGTGTTCTGCTTCCTCCCGAAAGCAGTCAACAGTCAGTCACAGCTGCCGTTGGTTTCCCTCTCTGCTCTGTTTTCTGTCAGTCAGATCTGCCACCCCAGGCCTGGTCCCTGGGGGGGTTCTCCTGGTCTAACTGGGAATGACTCTCTTTTTGCTCTGGTTCAGACTCTACAACATCAGAATTTTTCAAAAGGAAACAAGCCAAGCAATATTTGAATTGAGGGGATACAAAATGACAGACACTGTTCATATGTGGGCGACGGGGAGCCCGCCGGGGAGTCTCGGCCAGCGAGAGGGTCCCAGCCTGGAAGAGGGGGTGTGCAGAAGTAAAGAGAGACAGAAAGCTGGGGTCTGGAGGACTGAATAGGCAATGCCTATGCAGCAAGTTTATTTGTGTCCTGGGTTCCAATATATACCTTTAGATTATAAGGATTTTTTTTTTTTTTTTTTGAGACAGAGTTTCACTCTTGTTACCCAGGCTGGAGTGCAATGGCGCGATCTCGGCTCACCGCAACCTCCGCCTCCTAGGTTCAGGCA